TTCAAGTTTCCAATTAAAACATATTTTTAAGCTTTAGTGCAAAGCACTAGAGTTAAAATGATGAAAGCAGCCGAAGAGGATTCCTGTGCTGAGATCAGTAAGGAGGAGGCATAATTTCAACTTTTTCAGTCATCGGGTTATCCCAATAACTGGAATCTCTGGGACCTGGACATCCTCTTTAATAGTGAGAATCCAGAGCCAGAGATTCTGAAAAGATTGTCTCTTTTCTCCTTTTGCATCATGCTAAGTTTAGGTGTAACACGATGGAGTGCATGGGGAGAAACAGCAGAACTCCACCGCAATAGAGCAGTAGATCCCCATCCACAATCTCAAGTCACTTTGCAGGGTTTCAGCGATCCACAGTCAACCATGGTTTGAAAATACATTGCACAATGAGAAACTTAAGGAGAGAGAGTAAAATCACATTTATATAATTTTATAACTGTGTACTGTTATAACTGTTCTATTTTATTATTATTGTTGTTAATCTCATTGTGTCTAATTTATAGATTAAATGTTACCATGGATGTATATGCATAGGAAAAACATTGTCTACAGAGTTTGGTGCTATTTGCAGTTTCAGGTATATACTAGGGTTCTTAGAATGCAAACCTCCCACAGATAAATGGGGACTGTATTTAAAGGAAAGGATGAAAAGCTATTAGAGGTGACAGTCCCTTTTATTTTGAAAATATTTTTCTTAGATCTTACTTCCAGTAGCCTACTTACATCTGTACTCACTGACAGAGTGCTCAAATTTTATTATCTGGGCCCAACCAGTGCCTGGGTTGCTTTGTGTAATTAGCATGCTTGCCTTTATTATGGCAACTTAGTGGCCAAGTTTATCTGCAAGAAGGGGGAAGAGGAGTCAAGAAACTTCCTTTCATGTTGAGTCCTTGTCTCTGTTTCTTAACAGATCTGTCAGCAAGCAACCAGGTGAACTGAAGGCAGCCGGTGTTCACACCAGTCAATTCTGCTACTTATTAGCAGATTAGGTCAGAGAAGAAAAATAGAAAGGGGAAAAAACCTCTGCGGGGGAGGAAACGTTGAAGTCATATTTTTTTCTTCCTGCTGGATCTATATAATCCCTGTTCTCAGCACTCATCATCATGGAAAATTCTTGAGTTCTATGTAAAGGAGTTCAATCCATTCCCTTTTGCTCTACACTTAGCTTCCTCTTTCCTGCTTGTCCTAATTAAGTAATTTATGAAATCTGGATGACAAAAACTATAGCAATCAGAAGTTCAATGCACAATGGAAAGTATGCACAGACCATGCATTCACAGTTTCAGGCCAACACAAATCACGTTTAGGAAAAGAGGTATGGGATTATGAAGAAAAATTGGGATTGGAATAAAATTAAAATAAAGCTTTAAGTTCAAACATAGGCCCTTTTGTCAGCTTTGCTTCCAATATGAACAAGCAGGGGATATGTCAATAACTATTAGGACTTAACTCATTTCATTAAGAGGAATTTAAAAGCAAGATTGTCAGGAACTAAAATGTATGAATGCTTTCTAAAACATTCTAGAATGGTCTGCTTTTGATTAAATACTAATTGTGGTCAGGGAGCTATAATATAACATGCAAATCTTATTATGGTTTATTTTATACTGTAAATAATATATCTTGGGATTTAAAAATACATATTCATAGAAAAATATATAGATTTCCTAGGTAAATAATGCCTTCAAAGCATGTTTCTTTCAGAAAACGCTTTCTGCCTTTGGAGTAATTATTCATCATTACATTATATAAATTCACTGTTATATTCATCTAAAAATAACAGGTCTTGTAGCAGTCACCACAATTTTGGTAGATTCTTCCTCCTAGGTTAATGTCCCCACATAAGGTGTGTCCCCGCATCATACCTTTATTTATCAACAAATGTGACTTGATCACCAACATATTTTGGGGTAAAAGGGACACATTTTTCCCTCTATAGAGCATTAGTAAATTCAAACTTCATCTTCACTTTCTAACCTTTAATGTTCCTATATAATACATTTCTCCCTATCTTCCTCCCATCGGTCTTGCCTTTCTCCTCTCCCTCTAATTTATAGACAGGATTAACTCCCTCCTCAATCGTGTGCAATAATTATAAACCTACTCTTTCCAGTTAAAACAGTAAATATCTATTGTAAGCACTATTTACAATAGCTAAGCTTCGGAAACAACCCAAATGCCCAAAAATAGATGACTGGATCAAGAAGATGTGGTACATATACACCATGGAATATTACTCAGCATTCAAAAAAGATAAACACATGCAATTTGCAGCAACATGGATGGAGCTGGCAGGGATCATGCTCAGCGAAATAAGCCAGAAAGAAAAAGAAAAATACTGGATGGTCTCACTCATAGCAGGAATCTAGAAAATTTAAATAAGGGACCAGGAAAATGAATAATTATAAGAAAGTGAAAATCAAAATCAACAAACAACTATGAACCAGAGACACTCTATAGGGGGTGGGGGGCGGGGAAAGGAGGGCTTGGGGTCAAAATAAGAGGATTGTAATTGTAAGGAGAATATAAAAATAAAATTTAAATAATAAAAAAAGAAATACAGAATATAGATAAGAAAAAAAAAAACAATAACTATCTACTTAAGTATGTACAAATGCAAGATCTTCTGGTGCAAAAATATTTCCAAAGGTAACCAAAGGGGATCAGGAGACTCCCTGGGAAATATTTCCTACATTTCCATTCTACTTGCTTCATACTTATAAAGCAGAATTAGTTGCTCAAATCTCCCCAAATTTTAAAGTATTGCCCAGATCTTGAAATCTGCTAATATTATTGAGAGAACTGAGGGGCTGGTCTTCAATAATGACAGTATATTATTGGTTCCATAATATTGAAAATGTACATAGTGACAAGTATAGATGGCAGAGCAGCATTATAAACCCCCTAGGCTATTGCTCGTAGTGGCAGAGATCATTCAATTGATGAAATTGATGATTTAACCAATTATACTTTTCTCCAGCACTTTAGACAAAAAACAACCCTCGTCTGATGCATTCAACAAAATCTGAAAATAAGATCAATAAAAATACAGTGTAACTGGAAAAATGCAAAGGAACTTCCTAGTCACAAATGCATCACTCAATTTGATGCTTCCCCAGGTTAGCCTTCCAGAGTGCTAACACCACCACAATGGCATAAAAATGACAGGGAAAAAAAAATGCAAGAGCAAAGAACTAATTAGCTCCATAGGGGCACACTGGGAAAAAAAAAAACAGGATTCAAAGGGCAGAATGTAAATTCTAAAGTAGGGAGAACTGGAACATGAATCACTTCTTTTCCCAATCCGGTCCCTGCTTTAGTAGACATCTGGGATCGCATTGCAAGGAACAGGGCACTGAGTGACAAGATTCTCTGTGGGAGCTGTTGCTGTTGAAGACAATGACTTGTACAAGTGTCATGCAAGTACACGGAAGAGAACGCACCAAAGAACAAAGAACGCAAAGACATTTGGATAATCTGTTCTTAAGGAGGAGACTGGAGACAATTATTCTATGGGCCTGGGTCCAGTATTGTTCTAGGAATTCTCTCATCTACCGTCATAAATCCCGAGTTCTATATAATCCTCACCTGGTCATGATCTATTTTTTTTCCTATTACTGTTTTTCAACTCTCCTCATTCTTTCCTCATTTTCAGAGAGAACAAGAGTGCTCTCATTCACAATAAACTGAGTACATGTCAACTTTTAGCCTTGGGGTGAAACTGGAATATGTTTTGGTGCAGACCTGTCTATTTGTTTTTATATCTGCTGGATTTTTTTAAAGATTTTTTTTATTAATCTATTTTTTTTATTACAATGTCTACTTTCTTTTCTCAGGCGTAGTCTCCGAAGAATTTCCACCACCAATTCACCCATGCACCATCTCCACAGTCCCTTGTGCTCTTCCCACCCACATTTACAACCCCGTTTGCTGAGGGGAAAGAGTACCAATTTTCCAGTGAGAAAGCAGAGAGAACCCTGATATAAACAAAGAAGAAAGAAGCCTCCAGATTCAGGGATGTGTAAATAGGAGCAAGGCAGGTAAAATAAAACCTGTGATGATGATCCATTACTGGTTGTCATCCCTGAGGACACAATTCCTCTGTGGACACTGCCCAATGATGGCAGGAAAACAGATTTATGTACTCACAGTGTCCCCATTTCCTAGCCCCATTTTCTAGAGTCTGCTGGCCCAGTCTTCTTCCCACTCCATTCTAGAAAGATCTTGAATTTGAGACATCTAACCTCGCAGAGCCTGGCTTGTATCTTTCTCCTCCCTGACCTCCACATATGCTCTCCAAAGGGTGATATTCTAGGCAACTGTCCAAGCCCTAGAGATATAAGCAGAGAATTTTTAAAAGCCTGTTTCCTTATCCCTGTGTGTGTTAAACACATGCAGCCCACTAAGGAAAAAAATCACAAAACACGTTTCTCAGCTTTTTTTCATTATTGCTTTCTCTGAGGAGCCTTTTAAAACATGTCTTTCTATTTACATCCCCTCTCATGTCATTTTATACCACAAATATATCAGTTCATATGAAGTACATGAATAAAAGGAGTACAATTTTATTCACCCACTAAGAGCCAACTTTCACCCCCTTGGAGGAGATATATGAGAATGCATGATCTTGAAGCAGGTAACAACTCAAATAATTTCACCAGATGCGTTAAACTGCTGCTTCTCTAATGTTGAGTGAAATATAAATTCCTCAAAAACATCACCTTTTCTTTAGATTGGTAATCAGTATTGAAGGGAATCCAGTGAAGCCAAGTCTTTATGTTCTGAGATTCTAAAACACAAATCACTTTCCTGAAGAGCCAACTGCCTCTTCCTTCACTCTGTAAGAAAGTCTACAGAATCAGCAAGGGTCACCTCAAGTTAAGGCCAACCCCAATGAAGATATTCTTTCTTGAGCCTTAAGGCATTTAAGTTATATACTAAGCATAAACACAGTCAACTATTTTCAACTCCAGAAACTAGATAAATATGCTTACTTCTTGCCGTTTGAAGTTCTGGACATACTCTTCAAACTGTTCATCTTTTGTCTCATCAGCTTTCCCAAGCTTCTGAAGGACCTAGTTTTCAAATAAAAGAAAAAAGTTTGATTTAATAATGTTTTCAAATAATAGGCAGAGCAAGACTATTGTTATTAAATGATACTAGACTGACTAGAGCCAAGCTCACAGTAAGCACTCCACAGCATCCTCTCTGACATCCTCAGCATCCCTTTAACTCAATGAACACTCTTGAGGTCCAGGGACACACAAGGCCCCAGGCTAAGCACTGGTCATCCAGAAACACAAAGGTGAATAAAACAAGGTGCCAGCACTAGGGAGTATTATGCTTATTGAACTCAGTCAAACAGAAAATACCATAAGCTATATAATTACATTCATATGTAGTCTAACAGAGACACCAAACAAATGAAACAAAAATAAACTTTTAAACTATAAAACCAGAATAGTTATTACCAGAAGGAAGAAAGGGAGGTGAAAGGCAAAGAGGGAAATAATTGGATAGAACTGGATTTTAAATAGTAAACTTAATGAAGTATGTATAGATGTTGATTTATACTAATGCACACATTATAATGCAATGCTACATTACTAAAAATAAAATAATAATAAATATAAATAAAAATAAACTATAATATAGTGGAGTAGACAACTCAAATGTGTAAATAACAAAGATAATGTATAATAAGCTATTTGAAGGTCCTGTGATATGTTGTTAACAAGAGCCTTTGAACTGAGGTCTTCAGAATACTATGGAGGTTATTCAAATTGTGGACATTCCAGAGACAGGAATGTGGCAGAGTATATTAATCCATAGAAGTAAGTAGGCTAAGCAAAGATCAACAGAGAAACCATTCAGGGCCTCCCTGGTGGTTCAGGGGTTAAACTCTCAGCGCTATCAACCTATCACTTGGCAAGAGTTTGAACCTCAGACCCCCATGGTGCAGCAGATCCTCTCCAGTCACTCCTGCAGCTCCCCTCAGCAGTGTATTTCAGTAGATCCACCTGTTCTGCTCCCCACTCTGTCCCTGGTGAATCCTCTCACTCCCTGTATCTCTGGCCTAGTATGCATAAATAAATAAATCTTAAAAAAAATAAAACAGAGAAACCATTATGTAGTACGGAGTTGGGCATGAATCTGATTTCCTCAGGCACAGAACAGCAGAAGGTTACTTCCAGGCACAGTAGAAGCATCCTGAGAGTTATGTCTGAGTTCACTACTGAATACCTTCATAGCTATCATGTATAAAACACTCATTTATTTAAGAACATGAAAGTTCCATAAACACTGCCTATTGGGATACACACACCCTATGGTATTACCAAATATATTTTTATGAAACATAAATATTTAGGCATTAAAATATGTGTTCAAAGTACTTTCTAGGTTTTACATCAGACCATGCTAATTTATTTCCTAAAATCGAAGATATAACCTTTTAAAAATTAGAAGCTTTAGTGGCACATTTCAATGCAAAGACTGAGAAAAATCACCTAAAACCTGGAAAGAGACAAAAGAGTTCACTAGTGTCCCTTAGTACAGCTGGCCTTGAACCTCCAATGGCTTCCCATTGACTGGGCTATTGTGCATCTCCTTGGGGACAGAGATTAATTGAATATTTTGGTTTGAAAGAGATACAAATAGTTTCTGTCTGGTGGAAAGGTTAACATCAAGTATAAAAGTATATAACCCTGTGAGACATTTCAGACTTACCCCAGCAATATTATTCTAAAATTCCTTTATGAAATCGTCCATAAGTACTCAGCTCCTTACTAACATCTTACTGGATACCTCATTAATTAATCATTTAAATAAATTCTATGACATGCTTATTTTATAATTATATGAAAATTATGTGCTTGTTTTTTTTAAAAATTATACTTTGATACTAACAGGGTAGACTTAGAAATGTTATGGAAATGCAAGGTATTTTTACTGCTATTTTTGTTACTATTATTTAAGGAGAGATAGGGCAAAGCACCATTTCACAGGGCCACTTGGAAGAGAAATAATATCTAATAACCTTTTTGACCTTCGTCTAAGATCTCCCATATTATCCATATTTTCATTTTAAGTAAAATAACTAAGAAAGATGAATTTTGCTTGGCTGCTTTTTCTCCCATTTACATTTTTAAAAGTAAATAAATAATAAATTAATAAATACTTAAAATAGTAATGATTAGTAATTAATAATGACCAAATAATAATAAATGAATTCATTAAAGGTAATGAAGGAAAGACAACTAACATATGCCATATGATTTTCATTTTTTATAATTCTCAAACTACTAATTCCTAAATATTTTCACTCCAGATCAGTTAAGTTACTGAGAATCAGCAACACCTCATCTGATGGCAGCAGTTCAGCAAGACTGAGGAAAGCCATCCAAGCTCTTCTGAGCAAGCACTTCAAGCCTTAGCTGCATGACTTCAGATGTTAATGAACAGGTATTCCTGTCTCAAAGACTAAGAAAAAGAGAGATGAATATTTATTGAGCATCAACTATGTGCCTGAAACCACAGTTACATGTTACCTCTTTAGTTCTTGCAATTATTCCTGCTGGTTATTTTATCCACATAACAACTGCAGATCTAGGATACACAGCAACTGATTCAAGAGGGAGCCTCCAAGAAATCCACTTTCTGATCCCTGTTACCACCCAAGGATAACTTTTTCCTTCCCAGGAGAAGAAATGGAATTTATACATTGTAACTGTTATTCCCTTATTCTCAAGATTCCTGAAGGCTACTATGCCCTAAGACAGACACATCTTCTGGGCAGCCTATCCATAACATTGAAAGAATCTTTCATAGACTCAGTGCTGTAAGTCCTATATTTAAAATTCAAATCCTAATTCCTGTCCTTTTGTGTTTCTAGAAATTGTAGAATATAGCTAAAGAAGCTAAACCAACAACTAAAAACTGCTCCTAACTAAAGAGAAATCAGAGAATAAAATTAGATGACACAATAGGCTCACACATTCTCCAATAAGGTGAATAAGGAATACAGAACTCTTTGAGTTATAATGCATCCACATCCTGATGCCAGCTACCATTGAGGGGAGATGGGAAAAGCACAGGACAGAGCCAAAAAAGGATGTAGCCTTTGCTAATAATCTTCTCCATGCCAGTCATGACTTTAGGGATGTTGGGTCCATTTTTTCGATAACACTCATAAAAGTCTTGTTACAACATTTCACAGATGAATGGACTGAGACTCAAGAGAGGTCAGGCAACCTGTCTACAGTCATCCCCCGTGCAAAGCAGAGCCCAGATTCCAACCCAGTTCTCCCCCATTCTTCATAGTGCCTTCCATACAAAGATAGCACCTTAGGGCTTGTCCACTCAATAAAACGAATGCCTGTAATATGGTCCTGCAATATAATTGACCAACTTCTCTAGCTTTCAAAATTCAAATACGGTTGTAAGGAGTGGTATCTACACAGGTAATGGATTATTTTTGCCTTAATTTCTACAAATCCAGCCAATCTGTTAAAAACCAAAACGATACTTCTTACCAATGACAAAACTTCCATTTCTCTTATTTCCCCCATGCATTTTTAATCACTTATTTGAGATTAAAACTATCCTTGATGAACCATTACATTCTACCATAGACATCTCTGTTCTCATTTTCACAGTGTTGCCAAACTCTTCTCCAACATACCCCTGCGGATGTTATTCTCTCGGTGAAGTGCACTGCAGTTTCATGAAATAAACCTAATTTCTCATGGAGGACCGCGATGCCATCCTGACATTCTTACATATATCAAGGGCAGCAACAAGTAGCAGAAAGAACAGAGGTTGGAAGGGTAGTGCCACAGAGGTCACATGCTACTCCACCACAAAGGCTTTAGAAATCCTAATTTATCATAGTGGCCTATCTGCATGAATCTAGACTTGACCTTAGGATAGCTAGGCAAGAGATGATGCTAAGTTTACCTGTGAGCTGTAATCTAACTTAAAGTTACATTTCTAAATGCCATGCTTTCCTTAAGCAACATTTTATTCCTACATTGATTCTTCCCCATCCTATAAAAATTTCCAAACCATCACTTAATTGTGATGATTCCAGGATCCTCCATTAAGCCTGACCAATAAACCTTTGTTATACAGCATTACCCTTTTTAACCTACAACCAAAACTTTTATAGTTTCAGGTTTCCTGTAAGCCTCATAATAATACTGTTGTTGACACTATGCTGTATGGAGCTGTATGGAGGATCCACAAACTACTAAATATGGAGCTACCTTATGATCCAGCAATCCCACTCCTAGGAATCAATCCAAAGAACATAAAATCATTAATTCAAAAGGATACCCGCACCCCTATGTTTATAGCAACACTATTTACAATAGGTAGAATATGGAAACAACCCAAATGCCAAAAAACAGATGACTGGATCAAGAAAACGTGGTATATATAGGCAATGGAACACTATTCAGCCATCAAAAAAGATAAACTCATGCAATTCTCAGCAACTTGGATGGAGCTGGAAGGGATTATGCTCAGTAGGCCAGAAGGGAAAAGAAAAATACTGGATGGTTTCACTTATAGGAAAAATATAGGGGAACCAAATAAGGAGTCAGGAAAGAAAAATAATAATAAATTTAAAAAAGAAAATTAGCAGGAAACTATAAATAAGAGACATTCTGTGGGAGGGCAGGGGGAAGGAGAGGTATTAAAATGGGAGGGAAGAGCACAATGGTGATGATGCATGGGATAACTGGTGGTGGGAATTTTACGGGGACTACACCTGAGAGGAAAAAGCAAACATTGTACAAAAATGAACAATGATGTAAATAAAAATATATAATTTTTTTAAAGATTTATTTATTTATACAAGAACCAGGGTATAGGCCAGATGTGCGGGAGGGTGAGAGGTTTCACCAGAGACAGAGTAGGAAACAGAACTGGCAGACCGACTGAAATATACTGCTGAGGGGAGCAGCAGGTGAGACAGGAGAGGTGGCTGCACCATATGGGGATCTCGCCGGCTGGCTGGGATTGAACCCACGCTGCAGAGGCTGTGGACAGCTTCACAGCACCTGCGCCACCA